AAAATTGAAATATTTTCCAACGGAAATTCCGTCGCAACTTTCCGACGGACACAATTCGGTCTGAAGTTGCGACGGACTTTTCCGGAGCCAGGAAATCTGTTCCGACACCGGAATTCCGTCGAAAAGTTCGTCAGAGAAAGGTTTCCGACGGAATTTATGTCGGAAGATGCCGTTTTTCCTACAAAGGCTTTTCCGACAACCGGTTCCGACATAATTCCGTCGGAAATGCCATTTCCGACGGATTTTGGGGTGTTTCCGACATAATTTTTCCGTCGGAAACGAGCTATTTTCTAGTAGTGCTAGGAGCTCTTATTGATATACAGGGAAAGAAGAGTTCCTCCTTTCAATTTCTAGTTGATAAAGTGTCACAGAAAGTGGTCTCTTGGGCCCCCTTGCGTATCTCTCAATCCGCTAAGCTGGTTTTAATCAATACAGTCTTGGTTAGTATTTCGGCTCATGTCATGAAATGTCTGAAATTCCCACAAGGAGTGGCAAACAAAATTGACTCCCTTATCACTAGGTTTTGGTGGGCCAATAATGGAAACAAGGGTATGCACTGGGTGAAGAGAACAACAGTTCAGCTCCCCAAGGGTGTGGTAGGCCTAAGTATAAGGGGTACGTCAACTCTTAATGATGCCCTCTTATTTAAATAGGCAACAAGAATGCACCTGAATCCACAGCTTTTGCTCTGAAGAGTACATAGAGGGTTCACGAAAGGTTTTGCCTGGAAAGTGGGAAATGGGGAAAGCATCAGAGCTATTAGAATGCCCTGGGTCAATGGAGAGATTCCAGTTGCAAACTCGAATCAGACTCTGAGCGAGTCATTAAGCTGGAAGGTTAGTGATTTTATTAACAAGGATTCGGCTTTGTCGAAGGTGGGGAAAGTTAGGGAATGTTTTGATTGGAATAGTTCAAGGTCAATTCTGGCTATGGAGCTTCCCTGCTCTATGGAGGATGATTTCCTTTACTGGAAATACCATCCATCATGCAAGTTTACTATTAAAACAGGTTACTATTTCCTTGTAAAGGAATAAGGAACAGAGCAACTGGCGCTTACTTTAGAGGAGCAGAAGATTTTAAAGCTTGTCTGGAGGATGGATATCCAACCTAAATGGAAGATATTCCTGTGGAAGCTGTTTCATGATGGTATTGCGGTAAAAGGCAATTTAGCGAAAAGAGGCATACAAGTCGAGGAGGCTTGTGAGTTTTGTGGAGTGGACGAGGAAGATAGCCAACATCTATTTAGGCTATGTAATCTAGCAAAGGAGGTCTGGGAGTAAGGCTCCCTGGAAATTTGCTCTGATTCTATTGGTTTCAATTCTGTAAGAAGTTGGATCCAGCACTATATCCTGCTGTATTATAGCGAGGATGGTAAGTATGGTACCCGTGGCATTAGGTTTATTGCTACTTTATGGGGCCTTGGAAGGCGAGGAATGCACGAAGCTTCAATGGGGTAAATGGGGGAGCAAGCCTAGTCCTGGAATTCATCAACTTGGCAATGAAAGATCATGATACCTTTTTCCATAGCAATGGGGATAGGACTAGTAGTATTAACAGGCCTGGGAGTGATCCCTACCTTCCCCCGGGTTTCAATTTTGTGCAATTGGGAAAAGAACAAGATGGCTTCGAAAACTTCATTGTGGCTGTGGATGGCTCGTGGGACAAGAGAACAACAAGAGCAGGGATTGGTTGGGCAACCATGGGGAGTAGTCACGGTAATGAGGTAAGTGAGGGGGCATGCATGGAGTGGCAACCTCGGCTCTTCATTGTGAGGCATGGGCTTGCTTAGAGGCAATGTGTAGGGAATAATTTCAAGCATTAATCCCCTAGCTTGAACCCCACTGTGATCATACACTAAAGTACGGTGGCGTCCAAAAGGGAAGAAGATAGAGCAAAAGAGTCGCCAACAAGTTTTAGGAACTTGTAAACCGTTCACAGGGTGAAGGTTACACCCCTTAACGATCCAATAGATCGTCAACTGCATAAGGTCTTGAACCAAATAAGGGTTCGGGGATGAAGGTACAAATCCAACCTAAAAGAGATTGAACCTGCCCTAATAATAGTCCTCTACTTTATTCTGATCGTATTCATGTGCGCTTTTTGAATAACATGCAATCAATAGGTTTAACCCTAAACCTGTTTATCTATGTTGGTTGATTTAATGCACAAATAAATCTATTATTGGCGATCACTTGAATTATAATCAAATTAACCCTAAACAAGATTATTAATTATCTTATTAAGCGTGATTACAAATACAAATTCCCTTTAAGCATGCATAAAAGGTGTGATCAAGCAATGACAACAAAAATAATCAAGCAACATAACAATAATAAAAATAATTATCATAATCATAACAATCATAATTAAAAATAATCATCATTATAACAATTATAATCATAAAATCATAAAGTATAATCATAATAATAATCATCATAATAACAATCATAATTAATAATAATAATAATAATAATAATAATAATAATAATAATAATAATAATAATAATAATAATAATAATAATAATAATAATAATAATAATAATAATAATAATAATGTTAAAGCATAGCAAGATCCTAGGCATGATACTAACAAGATTAATAACAAACCCTAGCATGTCACTAAGCAATAAAAATCAAATCTTTAACCCTAACATGATACTAACAATCATAAATATTAGGAAAGAAAATAGGAAGCATCGCAGGAATCACAATTGTCATATTTGATATTAGAAATTATAGTTGTTACCCTAAACATGATACTAGGAAGACCAAAACGCCCTAACATAATACTAGGAATCATAATAACAACCTAGACATGATTTCTATAGCATAATAACAATGTAAACAATTAAAGCACTTACTTGGATGCCTCGTACCTCCTCAGAAATTAAACCTTTCACGTCTAGGGTGAAGGCGACTTCGAATATGGCTAGGTGTTTCTAGATCTAATGAATGCGGAATTTTGTATGTAAAAAGCAAGTTTAGAAAAAGAGAGAGATGGTGAACGATTAGAGAATGAAAACTAGTTGTAGGTCAATACTGGTTGTAGGTGAAAACTGGTTATCGAAAACGGAGTTTTTAATACGTTATTTATAGAGAAAATCAGCCAAAAAGATAAAATATCAAAACAGAGTATTGGCGCACAAAAAACCCAACAAGCGCCAACGTTAGCGCCAGGCGCTACAGCTGGCGTTTGGCGCTGATCTGGAAAATTACGCGCTTTCTTAAAATCAGATAAAAATTGTCATACAGGAGGATAAAATCGTATTTCCTTCAAAAATGCTTTTTGATTTTAATTAAAACTCTGAAAAGTCAACAAAAGTCAATTTATCAATGCTAATTGAATTAGGAATGAAAAGAACCTTCTAGAAGAATCTAGAATACTAAAACCATTCCTAATTGCATTAGGAATGATAAATCTATATTAGGCCCTCCTCTAGATCATTGGGTCGTATACAAGGCTCAAACCGGGCCCAGTTTAGTAAATTGGTCATAACTTCCTCAATATTCATCGAAATTGGGCTTATAATATATCGTTGGAAAGCTCTTGTCAAGCCCCATCCAACTACACTACTATTGGACCCATATCATGGACCAACCAAACCGGATTGGTTGTTTTCTTAAAATAAGTTTTCAAAAACAGAGAGAAGAGAAAAGAAATTAAAACTATCCGCAACACTAGACTTTCCACACTTTCACTTCATTCGATTATGATTCGACGCGAAAGGTACTCATCACTGGGTTTGATTTTGGGAAGACACAAATGGGTGTCTACACAATGAAATGGGATAGGGCGAAAGGTAAGCAAGGGATTTTCATTCTTTCGGACTCTGTTGCGCTTATTAACAACCTAAAAGACAAAACGGGTAAGGATAATTTGATCTCTTGGATAATAAAAAGATATTAAGGAAATTGGTGCTTCTTTTCAGAGGTGCGCAATTCTAAAGGTCCAGAGGGACCAAGTGCAAAGGGCAGATAATATTGCTAGGAAATGTCGTACTACCCTTTTGAACTATTTATGAGTTTGTTTGATTGTAATTTTCTATTGTAAAAAAAAAAAATCATTATATTATAATCTATTACAATCCGGTACATATATGTACAATAACCAAAAGATTGGGGTAAGACGAATCAAAGTCGCATTTTGCTTATACGTACAAATGTTCATGCTTCTATAATAACTACAATAGTCATTATTATTAGAGATAGAATATTATATTATGTGAATATATTTTTTACAAGGTTATTAGAATATATTTGTTATTATGTTTTGTAATCATATATTATATTATTTGATACTTATGAATCTTAGAGATTGTATTAGGATTATTCTTTTGTAAGGCTCACCAACGAATTCGACAATTTTGTCTATATTCCTGTGGAATTGCAATTTGGAGAAACGAATGTATTTATTTACAAACCCTAAATTTTAATCTTTGCATATTTTCGACTATCAACTCTACTTTTTTTTTCATTTATTAGGATTTTTCATTTATGATCTCAACTACGTTGAGACAATTTGAAAAATTCAAACCATTCTAATATATTAATTCAAGGCAACATTAATAAATATTGAAATAATTTAAAATCCGAATACAAAATCAAAATATGACTCAAAAATTAGTTTCAATATTCAGCTTTCATGATTTACCTAGAATATCCCTGAATTTATATTTGACCTAGGTTTATATAACTCATCACATTTAGGGCGGGCAAAAGCTGACCCGATAACCCGACTAGAACTTAACCCAAAATAAACGGGTTTTGAAAGAGATTTTAAACTCGCTTATGTAATTGGGTCAACCTGAACCCGAACTGAAGTTAAATGGGTCGGGTTCAAGTTGGAAGTCCCAACTCGAAACCAACCCGCCTAAACCCATTTAATTAGTTGGGTTGGTTTCAGGTCGGGTCAACCCAAACCCAACCCGCTTAACTTAAGTACTAAGTTTAAAATATGGGCCAAGCCCAAACTATCTAAGCCTAAAAGTCTAAAACCCTAAACGGCTAAAACCTTTCTCATTCTTTCTCTCGCCGCTTTCACTCATTCTCAACTTTCAGTCTTTCTCTCTCTTCTCTCTCTTATTTTCAATCTTTTGCCATTAAAATTTCTTGAAGCTTTATCTCAAACATTCTCAAGGTAATTTCATTCTCTTTCAGTCTTTTTTATAGGCTCATTTGTTCATGTGTTCATTTGTTTATGCAATTTCTTTTATTTGATTATGCGATTTTATGATTTCTTTGATTTGTTTATGCGATTTTTTGTTGTTATGTATGATTTGTATGCGATTTTATGTTGTTCATTTGTGATTTATTTCTGCATGTGTTATTTTCTTAGTCTGCATTTTTGTAGAGTTAGTCCTTTAGTTAGTTTATTCTTAATCTGATAGCCTTGTTCCTGGTGAACTCATTGAACATGCGATTCTTAAGTCTTTTTTGCGATTTTAAGTTTGTTTATAATTTATACCACTGTTTACTTGTTTATGAGTGAGATTTAATTTGATTACTTGTTTATACCACTGTTTTTCATGAGTTTATGAGTGAGGTTATGCAAATTTATTTGATTTCTTCATCTGATTATGCGATTCTAAGTATGCATTTGTCGTGAGTTTAATTGATTATTTATTTAATTTATTCCTAATCACATATGGCAAGATCTTTGTGGAAAAATTATGTCGATGAAAGTCATTGATGATGCAGGTGATACACCAAGTTCTCCGGAAAGTGCACCTCAAAGTCTAGCAGCTGCTATGGTCTATGGGGAGTCAAACCTAATTTGACAGATACCTTTATTTGCCATTGTTGGAACTTTGGAAGTAGTTTGGAACCTTGGAACTTTTTGACATATATGCTTGTGGCTTTGAAGTTTGGATTTGCATTTCATATGTTTATATTGTTGAATGTTACAGTTTATTTTTTAAAAAATAATTACATGTTAATTTTAAAAAATTACAGGTTTAATGGTTTATTGAAAAAGATTACATGTTAAGGAAATTACCTGATAAAAAAAAAATTCAGGTTAAGGCAGGTTGAGTTCAGGTCAACCCGTTTATAAACAATTTGAGTACGGGTTTGATTTTTTGACCTGTTTACCTATTTATGTAAACAGGTCGACCTGAACCCGACCCGACCTGTTTGCCAGCCCTAATCACATTATAATATGTATATGTTATTGGGTCAATGAACTGAATTTTTATTGATGATGTTCGTTTGTTAATACATATTTAATTTGACGTAATTTGTTAATGTAGAATAAAATTAATATAATTTGTTTTATATTGATTAAACAACTAATAAAAAATGATAGATTATAATAGATTTATTACTAATCAATTAGATTCAGGGATTTAATCTAATAATTAGGTATATTGGACAATTGTTTGGAACAAAAATGTATTAACGTCATGTAAATGTTTATAATTTCAACATTTCGCTCCTATCTAATGTTGGGGTAATTATACTTTATTGTTTTTTTATATATGTAAAATGTTAACTATAATAATAATTTTTTTTGTTAACTAATATAATTTATATGATTTTATAGTTGATAACTCGATCAAATATATGAATTTTGATTTGTTTGAGTTTGACAAATTTATCAACATATTTCGTTGTAAACGAAATACGTCCATTGTGAGATTGACACAAGACTTTTGTAAAGAAAGCAATGTCAACCAGCTAACTACAATGAAATGAAAGAAATGTAGTAAATTTTTGTTTGTCATTTTTAAAAATAATAATCCTTACTATGTAATAGTTCTTTTGATAAACTTATAAGAAGTAATTTCTCATTATAATAACCTTATAAGTAATAGCTAGATCATAGAAATAATTAAAGAAATATATAGATTAAAAAAGTAATTAATTAAAGAAATATGTACAGGGGTACGTACATTAGTACATATAATGATTCTTTTGATAATATGTTAGCAAATAAAAAATAAAATTACAACTTATAATCTTATTTATTTCCTGAAAAATTAATATACATGGTTCAATATGAATTCTCAATTATTTTGATGTTATTAATTTTTTTTTATGCTATATTAAACGTTTGAGATATGAATTTGCAATTATTTTGGTGTTATTATTTGTTTATTATAGATTAAACGTTTATGAGTTGAAGATTTTCTTCAAAAATTCAACACTTGAAGCTTTGCTTGAGAAAAGAAAAAAAACATAGAAAGATAAAAGGCAACAAACATGATAAAAAAATAATAAGAAAATTCAAGGGTTGAAGTATCTTAAGAGCAAGATTAGTTCTGTTTCAGGGATTTTTGTGATAACCTGAAGGGGGGTATGGATTGCCGCGGGAGACAGATCCGGGATGCAACACTCGTACAGCTTAAACACCTGCAAAATAACTGGTCTCTAGTTTACCGAAATTCCGCCTCTAACGATCAAGTTAGTGATTGAAAAATGGAATTTTAGAGAGAGAAAGTAGAGAGATGTAAGATCATATTTTTGGGCAGAGTGCCTTTGGAAATTGTGTGTTATGCATTTCCATCATGAAACGATGGGGTATTTATAGGGAAGTGGGAGATCATGCTCCTAGGGTTTCATAACCTAGGAAGATCGGATGTCCTATACGTGGTTGACACGTGTATTAGGGTTTCCTTCAAGCTAGGCTTGTTTCCTTAATGGGCTTTGAGAAGATTTCTTTTCAAAATCTTCTTATGTACTCCCTCCGTCCCTTTTTTACATTCCTGCTTTCTGATAGGTTGTCGTACACCTGTCAAAAATAAATTCCTAACAAAACCAACTAACAATGTAGTAGGGTAAGTAGGGTCGAATCCACTGAGAGATGGTTATTCAATCTAACTTCTAAGGTATGGAGAAACTCAACTATGTCACGAAATTGGGATAGAAAAATAGTCTAAATTAAAAGAGGGATAAAATAATTACTAAAAAGACCTAGGGTTATGGTTCACCATGTTTATAGTTCTAAATCTATCAAATATCAACAACAATTCAATCAATCAATTATCTAGAGCAATTGCTAAGCCTACGGTCGGGTCTTAACGCTCTCAATTCAACATATGTAGTTCGGTCGCTAACATAATTAGAATTGTTAATTGTAGGTATGCCTCTAAAAGTAAGATCTTTCAATTCAAACTCTTATTAACAAAAATTAATCAAACAATTGATCAGGTTGCAAGATTAACAATAAAACACTATCAATTAGAGAAATCAATAATCAAAATATTAAAATTATCAATCAAGATTCATAATATAAACATGGATTCCCAAACCCTAGAAATAAACTACTCAAACATGGAAGAAATAATTAAAACTAGATCTAAGGAATTAAACATAATTAAAAATAAGAGATATAAATAAAATACCTCAATGAATTAAAATAATAAACCCAAGAATCATCCATGGAAGAATCCATGGAGATGCCATGAGAAACTAGGGTTCAAGAGAAAACTCAAAAGAACGTAAAAATAATAAAAGATATAAAAGCCTCAGGGAGAAATAAAATCCCTTGGAGTATTTATATTATCCTAAAACTAATCTTAAGATAAATAAATAAAATAAAATAAAAAAAATAGCAATTACAATAGTCGTGATATGATTGGTCGATTGAAAGAGTTATAATCGATGTAGGATTTCTTGTGGCTTGCGCGCACACCCCACCCATCGGGCGATGGGTGGCCGATGGTCGGAACGACACTCGACCATCGGGCGATGGAAAACCATCGCCCCAACCAGCAGCCCACGCTCGAGCGTACATCACGTCCATCGCCCGATGACTGGGCGATGGGTTGGCAGCTTCGCAGGCTTGACTTCAAAGGGCTGTATCTCGCGTTCTAGGAATCTTATAGGGGCGTGTGACCTATCAATGGAAAGATCTTCAAGTCTAGTTTCTACCTCAATTTGAATCACCTCAATCCGATCTGTAAAACTCAAGTTATGATCAAAAGAGTGAATAAGAGTCAGTTTTACCACTTTGTAAAACATCGTTTAACTTCGTTTCTAACTCAAATTCAATTCCGAAAAGTGCATAACGATCATTGTGGATGCTAATTTTATTTATCATGCATAAAATCCTCATAGTCAACATCCACAAACATGAGATCTTCGATAATAAACTCAATTTATCGACTTTTCATCCTTTCATTGTCCGATTCTTCCAAAACCACTCCGAAAGCGTGCAAATAGCTATAGAAACTACCTGAAACATTAAGAAAACACAAACGAAGCGTAATAGAATACAAAATGGACAACCTATGCAATTGCGACCTAAAAAGCGACAAAAGACTCAAAAAGCAACTATAAAACTAGCGTAAACGTGCCTATAAACTCTATATAAACATGACTCATCACTTTCCTTTTTGGGTATTCCAAAATTACATTCCTCCTTTCCTTTATACTACCTCTTGTCCACTTTACTAGCAACTTTGAGGGTGTTTGCGAAGGTCGAGGCAAAACTTTTAAGGGGTGAATTAGAAAAAGTAAGGGTATGTAATTAGGAGATAAAATTGGAGGGAATAGTTGTGGTCCCCTTTTTGACTTTTGTAACCCCTTGTACTTTTGTGAAAGTAGTGGGAAATTCCCACCCTTATTTCCTGGCAGCAAATGAAAGTAGTGGGAAATATTTTTGCCCACCTTGTTTCCCTCCCAAAATCTCCCCAAATTTCAAATTTTTAACCAATTTCCCCCAAAATTTAAATTTTTGCATTCAATTCAAACAAAATGCCCTATATAAACCAGGGCTTCCCTTCCAATTCCTCATTTTCAAAAGAACACTTTTAGGGGAATTGGGGAGGGGGGAGAATTAATTCAAGTACAATCACATCAGAAATTAGTTTACTAAATCCAAAATACAGGCAGCCCTAACAAATTACAACCGTCTAAAAGTTGATTAGTTAAATCCTAATTCCTAAAGTTATGTTAGTAGATGCAGCTTCATTAATTACAAGAATAGGCTCCGTTGAAGACCGTCCAAAAACCACCAGCCGCCACTTCATCACCAAAAAACAATCCTGAAAAATTTAAAAAAGAGAAGGGACTCATGGCAGAGTTCATACACGAACTTATAGATGAGTTAATTCAAGAGGACCATCTCATGGAAGATGATTTCAACGAAGAACAATTCATCCAAGAAGAGTATCAAATGTCGTCAGATTCAGATCAGGAACAAGACCAACATCATGAAGATAATGATGCAGATGGCTATGATGCAGATGATGATGCAAACTAAGAAGAGCTACAACACAATTGCAGACCAACAAGAGAGATGACAGTAGAACAGAAAAGAGCAATTGTTGAGGAGATTATGTTGCACATGGAGGGGGACTCACTGCCAAGAGGCTTTTTAGCCAATTTGGCAAGAAAACATTCAGTGCACAAATCTACAACAACAAGATGGTTTTAGGTAATAAAACATTCTCTAGCACAAGGTATTGTTGTTGATGTGAATACAAAAAAATTAGGTAGGACAAGACGCAAAGCAAAAGAATACACAGATGAGTTCCTGACATCTGTACCATTGTACAAAAGAACAACTGAAAGGGGATATGCTGTTGCACTGAAAATACCCAAAACAACATTTAATAGGCTAAGGCAGCAAGGCAGGCTGAGAACACACACAAACACAAATCACCCAGCATTGACAGAGAAGCACAAAGTGTCAAGACTTAAATGGGTTTTAAGTCTAATAAACCCTGTACCAGCAGTAGGGGACCCAACATTCACTGATATGCAACATTGGATACATTTAGATGAGAAATGGTTCTACATTAATCCAGAAACAAGAACCTTCTACCTACTGCCAACAGAAGATGATCCATACAGGGCTCAATAATCAAGGAGGTTCAAGATCAAAGCAATGTTTATGGGAATGATAGGGAAACCATTGTTTGATGCTGAAAACAACATGATACATGATGGTAAATATGGCCTTTTTCCTTTTGTAAAGTATGAAAGAGCCAAAAATAAAAGCAAGAACAGAGATGCAGGCACTCTAGAGACAAAGGCAATTCAAAGTGTCACAAAAGAGTGCATAAGGGAGATGCTGCTAACACATGTCATCCCAACAATCTATGAAAAATGGCAACAACAGTTACCAAAGGACATCATCATACAATGGGATAATTCTAGGCCTCATCAGGTACCAAAGGATGAAGAATTTCAAGCAGCTTGTCATGCACATGGGTTCAACATTCAATTCATATCCCAACCAGCTCAGTCACTAGAAACAAATGTTTTAGATTTAGGCTTCTTTAGTGTGATTCAATCATTACAATATCAATCATTTCCAAGGAATCTAGATGACTTAATCAAGGAAGTGGCTAGAGCTTTTCAAGAATTTGATCCAATACTAAACAAGTACACATGGATCACACTTCAATCCTGCATGATTAAGATACTGGAAAAGCAAGGTGGTAATAACTTCTCTCCCCCACACATGAAGAAAAGAAGTTTGGACAGCCAAGGTCTACTACCACAACTACTTGAAGTAGACAGGGGTCTCATTGCTTAGGTTGTCCATTTTTTGGACACAGTCACAATTACAGGAGATGGTGAAGGGCACATGGAAGTAGATGCAGACTGATAAATGTGCATAACTTTTGGAAGGGTAGTATTAGGGGACTCAATATTGACTGCCACACATAACCTTTTCCTATTCAAACAACTTTTTGAGTTAGATTATGTGTAGGTTATGTGTACTTTTGGCAGATACAAATGGTTCATTTATTTGGCAGTCATGTAATCAGTCAAGCTCATATATTATGATTAAACAAACATTTACAAGTTTAATTATGTCTTTGTTTATTTTTCAGAACCTATTATTTCCATCAGAATGGGTGTGTTTTCAGTCAAAGCTTTAGTGAGTGTTGGTACCTCAACAAAAACCAGCTTGACAAGGTTTATGGAGCATCCAGACCGCCCAAGTAACTATCAGATGAGTCCCATCATCATATGGAAAGCCAAAAGGGATATGCATTAACAAAAAAGGGACTCAATGCATGACAAACAAAATACTAGGGTCAAAATTGAACACTTCCATGCCAAGTAGGTGAAGGTTGAAAAAAGCAGCAGGGGACTCAATGTCAACAACCAGAATAGACCAATCAACTGTGAATTCCACCAATGCAAGAAACATATAGGAAAATGAACTACTCCAACAAATGCAAACACCACCATCCCAAAACAGAAATCAACTTCTATCAAACAACCTACATGTCCAAAAAATACTAGTTTTATCACAAACAGAAATCAACTTCTAGCAAACACCACCATCCCAAAACAGTGAGGGTAACAAAATTAACTACCCACAGTTACTCCAACAGTCATGCATGAACTTCTCATGTAACTAAATTCACAATCATGCAAAAAAATGAACTACTCACACTAACCGCAACAACAACCCAGCACACAACTTCAAAACAACAAATTGCACAGTACAAGCACAAACAGAGAACTGAACTGAACTGAACTGAAATGAATATTTTATAAGAGAAGGAAATTAGGAGCTGAACTGAATTGAACTGAACTGAGCTGAGCTGAGCTGAACTGAACTAAGCTGAGCTGAGCTGAGCTGAACTGAGCTGAGCTGAGCTAAGCTGAGCTGAACTGAACCAAACTGAGCTAAGCTGAGCTTAGCTGAACTGAACTGAGCTGAGCTGAACTGAATTGAACTGAAATGAACTGAACTAAACTGAATTTCAACGTAAGAGAACAGACCTATACTTTATACTTTACACTTTCTTGTCGTGTCAAAAAAAAAATCACTTTCTTGTTGGTTACTTATTATAAAAGATACGGAGTATGTAGTATCTATTATATTGTTCAAAGTTTTGCATTGGCAATTGAACAAATCAAATCACCCTAACCCACAATTAGTTGCATGGGAAGCTCCTCCTCTCAACTCCTTCAAACTCAACTTCAACGGTTCGATGAAAAACAATTCAGTAGTAGCAGGAGTTGTAATACCCCGTATTTTTATACGTATTTTATTTTAAAATATGTATTTATAAAGTATTTGAATAATTTGAATATCTTAATTATGGTATTTTAACTAATATTTTTATAAAAGGAAAGTTTATTTAATTTCTTTATTTATAAATGTTGGGGTTTTATTTTAAGAAAGTTTAATTTTAACAAGTTTTATTAGGGAAGTTATTAGGAAAAACTAAAAGAGGGAAGTTTAGGGAAAAAGAGATTGGTAGAGAAGGGGTATAAATATCCCACTTATGAGGCAAATCAACTTTTTTCAGAGTGGAGAAAAACCCAAGGTAAACTTCTCTCTCTCTTCTCCTTATTTTCTTTCTTTTTCTTTTCCCCTTCCCCTTTCTTTTTTTCGGCTGCTCTGTTTTTCGCCCCCTCCACCGCTGCCTGATATGTCCAATTTATATAGTGTTTTACCCACGTCCCGTGGTCATAATTAGTAGTGTTTTTGGCTCTTTATGACCATTTTTATTACTAATTTGTGTTTTCTAGTGTTTTCATAGTTTTGGTTGAGTTTTAAAGGAAATTTCACTTTTGGAGCATTTTCCCGGGTTTTCATGGATCAACTACGGAATCTAGAAGGACACGACCATTCTTGAAGCCCAGGATCGGTGAGAACCGGTGATTAAGGGCTCGGTATGTGATACCGGGGCTATTGGATCAAGTAATCAAGACCCAATGAGGAAATCCGGATTGGGCCGAGGAATCGAGCCCAATCGAAACCCAAGCCTCGAAGAAGAAGTCGGGCCCGATCGGGCAAGCATACGCCCGATCGGGCGGGCGCGCGCAAAGCAACATCAAGGAAGAAGCGCGCCCGATCGGGTGAGCGTAGGCTCGATCGGGCGCAGCATACCAGCAAGGGGCAAAGTAAAAAGGCGGGCCCAAACGCTAATCCTGCTAACCTTGCAGGGCTACAAATAGATACTAACTCTACTAATGTTTCTGTGCAGGGTAAATCTTATGATAAGGGAGGAGATGTGCAGAGCCCGGTTATCAAACTATCATTCCCTAATCGACAACTAAAGAGTAAGTTTGATAAACAATTTGGTAAGTTCTTAGAGGTTGTGAAAAACCTGTAGGTAACAGTTCCTTTCACTGATTTAATCACTCAAGTTCCTGCTTATGCTAAATTTATGAAAGACATTCTGACTAGGAAAAGGGCCTTTAATGAAGTAGAAACTGTAGTTTTCACAGAGGAGTGCAACACTCTATTGCAAAATAAATCCCCTCCTAAATTAAAGGATCCCGGTAGTTTTTCTATCCCTTGTCATATAGGGAATGTTTTTATTGATAAAGCTTTGTGTGATTTGGGTGCTAGTGTCAGTGTTATGTCATCGTCTGTCTGTGCTAAACTTAATATGGGAGAATTAAAAGTTACTAATATAACTTTGCAAATGGCAGATCACTCTGCAAAATACCCCTTAGGTATTTTAGAGGACATCCCTGTCATAGTTGATAAATTTTTTATTCATGTTGATTTTGTTGTTTTAGACATGGCAGAGGATACGCAAATACCCATTATATTAGGTAGACCTTTTCTCCATACTGCAGGAGCCATTATTGATGTGAAAAATGGCAAACTAACCCTTTGTGTAGGTGATGATAATGTTACTTTTAATCTAGGGAAAGTTCTGAAAGGGCCTATGCTAGAGGAAAATTATTGTTATATTGATATAATTGATATAATGGATGATATTTGTGATGATAGCTTGCCACAGGTTCTTGCGAGGGATCCCCTGGAGGAAATTCTCTGCGGGAATTTATCTAAAGACAATGCAAGCGTTTGGGGTAATGAGGTACAGGATATTGAAAGAGCTCTTTCCTTAAAAGAGTTAAGCCCCAAGGAAACAATGAAGGTAGTAAATTTAGTTCAGGAATCGAAACCTGAAGAGGTCAAGAAACCTGAACTAAAACCTCTTCCTTCTCATTTAAAATATATTTTTCTAGATGAACAGGAACTATACCTCGTGATCATCAGTACTGCACTTAATGACCTACAAACTTCCCAACTTCTAGGGGTTCTTCAAACCCATAAGAAGGCTATTGGGTACAATATTGATGATCTCAAGGGTATTAGCCCTGACTTTTGTATGCACAATACATCTAGAGGATAACTATAAGCCCTACATTCAACCCCAAAGAAGATTAAATCCTAACATGCAGGAAGTAGTCAAGAAAGAGGTTATGAAACTACTTGATGCAGGTATTATCTATCCTATTTCTGACTCCAAATGGGTAAGTCCTGTGCAGGTAGTGCCTAAAAAAGATGGGATGAATGTGATCACTAATGAAAAAAATGAATTAATTCCCACTAGAATTGTAACAGGGTGGCGTATGTGTATTGATTATCGTAGGCTAAATATCGCCACTAAAAAGGACCACTTCCCTCTTCCCTTTATAGATCAAATGCTTAAGAGGTTAGCCAACCATAAGTTCTTTTGCTATTTGGATGGGTATTTGGGATTTTTCCAAATTCCGATTCACCCTGAAGATCAGGAAAAGACAACTGTTACATGCCCTTATGGCACTTTTGCTTATCGTAGAATGCCTTTCGGTTTATGTAATGCACCCGCTACCTTTCAACGTTGTATGATGAGCATCTTTTCTGATTTCATAGAGTCTATTATGGAAGTCTTTATGGATGATTTTAGCGTGTATGGTTCTTCATTTGATTCATGTCTAATTAATCTCGCTAAAATTTTGAAACGATGTGAAGAATGCAACTTAGTTCTAAATTGGGAGAAATGTCACTTTATGGTGACAGAGGGAGTAGTTCTAGGTCACATTGTGTCTGATAAGGGCATACAAGTAGACAAAGCTAAGATTTCAGTGATAGAGCAATTACCTCCCCCAGTTAATTTAAGGGAGTTAGAAGTTTCTTGGGTCATGCGGGGTTTTATCGTTGCTTTATCAAAGATTTTTCTAAAATTGCTAAACCACTGACTCAGATTTTGCTCAAGGATGTTCCTTTTATTTTTACTGATGAGTGTCTTGAGGCTTTTAACAGGATTAAGCAGGCTTTGATATTGGCACCCATCATATGTGCTCCCGATTGGAATCTTCCTTTCGAGATCATGTGTGATGCTAGTGACTTTGCACTGGGAGCCGTGCTCGGACAAAGAAAGAACAAGATTTTCATGATATTTATTATGCAAGCAAAAATTTGGATGAAGCCCAAGTCAACTATGCCACTACGGAGAAGGAGTTTCTTGGTGTTATATATGCTTTAGAAAAATTTAGATCATATCTTATTGGTTCTAAAGTCATTGTTTTTACTGACCATGCAGCGTTGAAGTACTTGATAGCTAAGGCGGAATCAAAGCCAAGGCTACTCCGATGGGTTCTTTTGCTCCAAGATTTCAATATCGAAATAAAAGATAAAAAGGGAGCAGAGAACGTAGTGGCAGATCACTTGTCACGTATCAGGTATGATGAGGGTAAGGATTCTCTTCCTATAGATGATTCTTTCCCTGATGACAACCTATATGCAATTGTAGAGCAACACCCATGGTATGCCGATTTTGCTAATTA